TGGGAGTCCAGCGACATAACCATTACGCCACCTGAAGGCCCCCATCTTTTAAATTGGTACTTAATATTACTACTTTGAACATGGACTTTTTGGTAGAGTTTTTTTTTTTTGGAGAGGTTTTTGCTATAAGGGCGCGTGCGCTCGCCAGACAGACAGAGACAGAGACAGAGACAGAAAGCGAGAAATCACCCCCCCCCGGGGGGGGGATGGCCACACCGCAATCCCTTCTCCTCCATTCTGCTCTCGGGATCTTGGGCACGCACGCACACGCGCCCGGCGTGAGTTTAAGCCACCAGGTCCGGGACTCGAACCGCGGTCGACTACGTGGGAGTCCAACGACATAGCCATTACGCTAACTGTTGGTCCCTTTGGTAGAGTTTTTTAAATTAATTTATCTCTTTATTATTTTAATTTGACCAGAGGGACAGAGAGAAAGAGAAAGTGAGAAAGCAAGTGGAACTACAGTTGGCCAGGTGGGAATCCAGCCCCTTTGGTAGAGTTTTTGCCTTGGAGCATGTGAGGGGGTGGGGGAGGAGGGGGTGGAGAGGCAGAGACAGAGGAAAAGTGAAAAATCACGCCCCAGGGGGTATGGCAACACCACAGTCTCCTCTCTTCCATTATCCTCCTGGGATCTTGGGCACACATGCGCATGCACCTGGCATAAGTTTCAAGCTACTGGGTCTGGGACCCTAACCCAAGTCAACCAGGTGGGAGTCCAGTGATGTAACTGCTCATTCAGGCTGCTCTTGCTGGCCCCTGGCATTTTAATTTTAATCTGTTAATTTACATGTTCTTTCCCCATGTTATGAGGGTGGGAATTTTATTTAAAAACAGTGTTTAGTTTGGTTTTAATTTACTACTGGGTGTGTGTGCTTGCGAGAGAGAGGGAAAAGTGAGAAAGCACTCCCCATGATGGCAACACCACAATCCCTTCTCCATTTTGTGAGGATTTGGGGGCACATATGCACTCATGCCTGGTGTTTTCCATGCCCCTGGGTCCATGGCTCCAAACGTGATTTTTTTTCTTTTTAATAGAGGTTTTTGGTGGGAGCGCCTGCGCTCGCCAGAGAGATACATAAAGTGAGAAATCACCCCCCCCCCCAGGGGGGATGGCCACTCTGAAATCCCTTCTCCTCCATTATCTTCTTGGGATCTTGAGCACACAGGCATATGCACCTGGTGTGTTTTAAGCCGCTAGGTCCAGGACTTGAACCGCAGTTGTCAAACTTCAGACCAAATCTAAAGCTGCCTTTATAAAACATATTCAAGGAAGTCCATTGCAACTATCTTTCTCTTTTTTTTTTGGAGAGGTTTTTGCTATAGGGCACGTGTGCTCGCCAGAGACAGACAGAGAGACAGAAAGCGAAAAATCACCCCCCAGGGGGGATGGCCACACGGCAATCCCTTCTCCTCCATTCTCCTCTCGGGATCTTGGGCACGCACGCACACGCGCCGGGCGTGAGTTTTAAGCCACCAGGTCCGGGGCACGAACTGCGGCCGACTACGTGGGAGTCCAGCAACATAGCCATTACGCTAACTGCTCGTCCCAACAACTATCTTTTTTAAATAGATTTTTAGTTTTTTGTCTTTTTTAGAATTGCAACTATTTCTATAATGCTTTTCAAAAGATACTTTTGGGGCTAGTGGGTGGCATAGTGGTTGAGTCGCTGGACTCCCAGCGACTTAACCACAGTTTGAGTTCGGGACCTGGTGGCTTGAAACATGCTGGACACGTGAGCATATGTGCCCAAAATCCCAAGGAAAACAGTGAAGGGATTGTAGTGAACCCGCATCTCCCTCTCCCGGGGTGGGGCAGGGGGTGAACTCTCACTTTGTGTCTTTCTCCTCTCTCTAGGAAGTACACAGTCCCTATAGAAAGCAGCTTTGAATTCTGTATTTTTGTCTATTATACAATTAAAAGGCAAGACAAACATGCCTGGAGTGGTCCTTGTGATGACGTAGTTATCAACTACATTAACCAAAGAAATGCTAAACCAACACAAAGATTCTATGGAAAATGGAATCTCAAAGATAAACAGCTGCCTAATCTTCAGGAGCTGTTTGACTACCAAATTACAAGACAGTCATGCTCTTTCCTTTTCTAATCTGTTGAGCATCTGAACATGTTTTCATGCATATGCACTTATCATTGAAGAATGTGTTTAATTATGTGATGGATGCTGGGCCTAAAATTCTTAGCGACAAACATGTGAGTCATTGTTACCCTGAAATCTAAGCCTGACTTGACCTAGAGTTGAACTTGTGAGCTTCAGAAATGGGATGCTAAATTAACAATTTTCCTTAACAGAGGGTACCTGTGCTCATCAGTTAGCTGTGACAGTGGAGGGACCCTCTCCCCTTAGTGGGGCACGGTCCCACCACAATCCCTTTTCCATCCACTCCTTCGGGATTTGGGGCACGCACACACATACACGTTATTTTTCAAGCCGGAGGGACCAGGATTGAAACTACAGCCAGCCATGTGAGGTCTGGCTCTATCGCACTACAGGGTTAGCCTTAGAAATTTTTTTTAAAGCTAGTCAAGTAAAGCAGTGGAAATTAGTATTCTTTTTTTACAATTTGCCAGAAGTTGCACATGCTCTCCACAGAGGGAAAGGGAAAAAGGGCCCCCAAATGGGTTTTGGTCATGTTAGCAATACCCCGTCCACTTTGTCGGGGTTGTGGACACATTCACTCACACTAGCCGCTGAGGCTGGGGTTAGAGGTGTACAGGTGACCACCGGGCAAGCAAGCCAATTTTTCTTACAAGCTACGGTAGGCAATGAAAAAATGGTAGCAATGGCTACTAGAAATTCACCCTACCTCCATCTTCAGGTGCTTGCCTATGCCATTCACTACCTCTCAGCTCAGATACATCTACGGGAACAAACAGGCAATATTGTATTAACTGATCCTTTACTGGCATTTTCTATCAACAAAATACCATCTTTCAAAAGAAAGCAAGTTATCTTTGGAAAAGTTAAAACAATTAAAATATTTATAATGGTGGCCAGCAGGTGGTGCAAGGGTTGAGTCACTGGATCCCACATGGCTGACCACCCAGTGGTTCAAATCCCTTGAAAATCACTCTGGGCTTGTGTCCACATGCCTAGAGACTTGAGGGAATTGTGGCATGGTCATCCCCCTGCGGAGTAATTCCTCAATTCTCTTTAAAAAGTAAAACCACATATATAAACTACAATAAAACTGCAAGTATGTGTCTTGAATAGTAATGGGGTACATAAGAACAGGAAACCTTGTCAGGACTATCCCATAAAATGGGAGAAATACCCCCCCCACCACCACCAAGAACATAGTCATGCCACAATACCTTCTCCCTTCCATGATTCTGGGTGCACATGCACCCAATGTTTTTCAACCCACCAGGGCCAGGAATCAAACCACCCAGTCAGCTTATGTGGGATCCAGCTGCCTTAACCACCAGGCCACGAGCTGGCCCCATTTCATTCTTTTCTAAATTTAAAAGGCTGTTCAAGTGTCAGCAGATGGCGTAGTGTCTGGACAGGTTCTAAGCAGTTGAGTCCAAATCCTGTAACTTAAAATATTACACCAAGTGCGTGGAGGTGTGCCCAAGATCCCAGCAGGATAGAGAGACTGGCAGTCTTACCCCAAGGGGAGGGATGACCTCACTTCCCCTTCCCTCTCTAGCAAGTGCACACACTCTATGGCAAAAACCTCTTAAAATTTTTTTTTTTTTGGAGATTTTTGCTATAGGGCACGTGCGCTTGCCAGAGACAGAGATAGAAAGCGAGAAATCACCCCCCAGGGGGGAAGGTCACGCCGCAATCCCTTCTCCATTCTCCTCTCGGGATGTTGGGCACACATGCACACAGCAGGAGTTTTAAGCCACCGGGTCCGGGACACGAACCGCGGTCGACTATGTGGGAGTCTAGCGACATAGCCTTTATGCTAACTGCTGGTTCCCTTAAAAAATTATTTTTCAAAAGACTTATTCATCCATTTATTTTAATTTGACCAGAGAGAGCAACTGAGAGAAAGCAAGCCACCAGGTCCAGGACTTGAACCATGGTTGACCATGTGGGAGTGCCCAGTGCCTCAACTGCCATGTCACCTGCTGGTTCCAAAATACATGGCTGTTTCAAAAAAGCAACAAAAGCAGGTAGGAAATAAACTAAATAACCATAGTTGAAATAACTTAAAACCGGTTCCTAATCTTAATTTTTTTTGGCCTTGACTCTATATTTAAGACATGCATTGTCATTAAGTACTAATTAAATGTCTGGGCACAAAAATTCATTTCACTTAAGCTTGATGATCTTAAGCTCAATTCAAATATGTGATAAATCAAGTAACACCACATATTAAAAAGGCCTTCCCAGCCACAGGTGCATTAAGGAATTTCAGATTGAGGTTAATGTTCAGAATATTTTCAAAAGTATAGAGAAATGGGGACCAGCAGTTAGCATAATGGCTGGCTATGTCACTGGACTCCCATGTAGTGACTACAGTTCAAGTCCTGGACCCGGTGCCTTAAACGCACTCCGGGAATGTGGGCGTGCATGCCCAAGATCACGAGAGACCAGAGGAGAGGGGATTGCAGCATGGCCATCCCCATGGGGTGTGTGTGTGTGATTTCTCGCTTTCTCTGTCTCTGTCTGGCGAGTGCAAGCGCCCTATAGGAGGAATCCCCCCCAAAAAGTATAGAGAAATGAAAATTCTACATAAAAATGATGCAGTCTTCTCTTCGCAACTTTGTTTCCTGCTCTAAAGCAGTGTAACTCTTCCAGGATAACATTATGCTATTATGTTATGAATTTTAGGCCAACCTCTCAGATTTAATGAGTATTTCAATTGACAACATAGCCAAAATTTAGTGTCCAAGTCAGTAGTTCTGAGTGGTGATCTTGAGGCAGTGAGCCCTGCTGTCAATCCATACTCAGACAGTGATTTAGCAAGGTTTTAAACAAGGTATGGCTTGTGTCTCTATTACATAACGCACGTAACAAATAACAAAGACCGTAATTACAAAACAAATTTATTAACAAATATACAAAACAGTTTGATTACTGTGTCTTACAAATTTCACCTTTACATAGGCAAGTAATATTTACAAGCGTGTATATATACATATATATATAGAAGACTCCCACCTGTGCGTAACCTCTGGTCCATTTGTGCTATCTCCTATCTGTGAGAGAAAACTAAAATGTTAATACCTGAATATTGAGTATTTACATCATTCTGCTGGCTTTTGAATTGCAAGAATTAACTACTAAATGACCCAAGAGGAGGAGATAATGCCAGATACAAACTTGCATTAAAGTGCAGCTTCAGGAAACCTTAGCCATTAGTTGTTATCTTCTAGACAGGTATCCACAGTCCGTAGGGACTCTTTTTCAGATCAATTTTTGGTGATCCTGAGGATGTCGCACCTGCAGCTTTATCTGATGTCGGTATTGGCTTTGCTACAGAATTCTGTAAGAGAAAGAGATTAAGTCAACTTCTGAGGCCCATACATTTTTACATACTTACATGGTTTTCTAAAAATACATTCAATAATTCCACTTAAAACCAGACAGACAGCATTATGGTGACCTAGGCTTGACTTTTAATGCCTTTAACTTATCTTAAATCATGATCAAAGTATCATGTATCAAACTAAGATCTCCTTTTAAAAGTATGTCAATGAAGATGAAGTATCAAAACCTATGTGAATGATACCACTTAAGAACCCATTATAATGATTTGGAAAAGTGTCATGAAAATATAAGACATTGGGACCAGCAGTTGGCGTAATGGCTATGTCGCTGGACTCCCATGTAGTCGAAGCGGTTTGAGTCCTGGACCTGGTGGCTTAAACTCACACTGGGTGCGTGTGTATGTGTGCCCAAGATCTCGAGAGAATGGAGAAGGGATTACAGCATGGCCATCTCCCCTGGGGGGTGATTTCTCACTTTCTTTTTCTGACGAGCGCACACACCCTATAGCAAAAACCTCTCCAATAAAAGAAAAACCCAAGACATTAATTCCATTTACCAGGAGACTTGAAAGGTCTGAGATCATCACTGCAAATGTAAAAAGCCTGCCTAAAGTTTTAAAATTCTAAATCTAACTTGAGTGGTCAACACTTGGCCATACTTACAGCAGAGCTAAAAGCTATGGTTCTTTGCTGGGACAACCTCTCACTGAGATTTTTAGTTCCATCTTCTGTTAGCTTTACTGACAGCTAGGCAGAAAAGAAAAGTATTGGGTTGTCGGAATAGCCCTGATGTTTTTTTTTATTTTTTGGCTTTGTTTTTCTATGCAAAAATGTGTCCTGACTTTCTGGACAAGACCACACCCTTATTTACAAGTACCAAACAAAAAAACAGCCCTACTGTACATAAATTGTAGACCCGGTAATTTAAGTATTATCTAACCATTACAGCCTAAGCAATACAGGCTCAGGCTTTGAGTTTTCCCCTTAAAACGGACTTAACAGTAAAGCTTAAAGACTCCCTCACATTTTATTACCTCGAGATAAATGCAAGTAATTTTTCAAAGGCTTATTAGAAAAGAGCTAATTTCAAGGAACTAAGGCATTTGCTGCCAGTTAGGAACCTGGGTTCTTGTCTAATGCTAAGCAAACCCACATCTGGTACCAATGATAGGTTCATTTAGACAGGCTATCTTTACTGTGTTAACTGAATTCACTTATTTCTAACTACCTTAAATCTTTAAAGCTGTTAATTTTAGGGCTTCTGATTTCACTTAAGTAATTTAAATTGCCCAATGTACATCCTGCACATTTTTGGAGAATTATAATAAACTTATCTGCAAGTGAAGCAGGACTCCTCTTCTGTAATCTTTCAAAACATCTGGAATATATTGCATATATTATGAACAGGACATCCATATCACAGATGCCCCACCATTTCAAAGTGTACCTTCTGCTTAGTTTAAAAATTGTCTTTAGAACCTTATCCAAATAGTACCTGTCCCAAATTCTAGCATGCACATGGTTCTACCAACAAAAATACTAAGCTTTCAGTATATGAACATCAAATTAGTTAAACCTGATTCTTTAGCCCATGTATCAATTACCAACAGATTTCTTCATCAATGTCTGCAGACCACATTCATGATTTCTATAAGACAGAAATAAAGCAGATAAACTATACTGTATGTTCAGTACAGGACTTGTGGGAACAAATGCTACAAAGGAAAGCTATAGAAAGACACTGTGTATACAGCCCAGAGCAAGAATGGTATAAGGAAAATTTCACAGAAACCAAAGGGCTAGGTACAATATATTAAAAGTGACAGTACCACCTTGTCAACCTAAATTAAAAGCCCTGTGTCAACTGAATGTAAAACTCATTAACTTTCCATTTTTGTGGATATGACCCACATCTAGGGATGTCGGCTCTATCGTTTTAATTTCAGCAAATTATATTTAGCTAGACTTCCTGAAGAATCTTAAAGTACATTTTTTAAAAGTATAAAAAAAATCTGGCAGCAATGTTCTGAAGATTCTGTTGGGAAAATTTAGAAAACACCAACCTCAAACTTTGCATCATTAGGTACACCTGTTCCATGGCTTGTTTCTTTAGCTCCAGAAACAATTTTCAGACTAGCTGGCAGGTCAAAGTTCGTTGTGCCTAAAGCTTTCGCAGCGTTGGCTTTTGCTATTTCTAACAGCTCCATTCGATCTGAAAAAAGATAAAAATACAAGATACTCATTAATCCTGCAGTTATTTCCCCAAGAGAACACAAAATCAAAAATAATTTAAGCTTGTAAGCCACCACCTCCAGAACTCCAGACGCAGTCTCAGTAATGTGGGCCCTTCAGAACCTTTTTATCTTTTGTACAGATTTTTATGCTATAGGGTGCATGTGCTCCCAGAGAGACAAGGAGAAATCACCCCCCCACACACACAACCAGGAAGGTCACTCTGCAATCCCATCTCTTGCGTTCTGTTAGGATCTTGGGCACGAACATGTGCCTGGCCTGAGTTAAGCCACGGGAGTCCAGTGATAGAACCATTCCGATATATTCTGCTCCCCAACGTCCAGAATATCTTAACCACCATGCCACCCACTGGCCTCCATGATTTTTCTTAAACATACTCTTATTTACAATTTGTGACATGTACAGTGTAACTTGTATTCAGAGAAACCAGAGCCTACCTTAGCTTTTGCTGAGAAAATGTTCCTAAATTACCTCTACTATTTCCCGGTTTTCTTACACACAACATGCCCAAACTACTATTCTTTCAAGATTTTTTGGCCAAACTTGATTTTAGTCAAAAGGCCCAGGACATTACAACATAATTTATGTGGCACAACTGTCACGAATACTGACTCACAATTAACTGAAGTCTCTAGTCAAATTTACATTACACAGTATGTTTTTTTCTCTTCTGTGATCAAATCCAAGTAACACAAATCATTTGATTTAAATACCAGACAATCCGATTCTCTTAATGGTGCAAGTGAATTTAGGTACCAATTGAAAAATATACATTGTTATCATTCTTCCTATTCCAGTTTTTAGCAGAAACTCTAAACAAAATCACTTGAGTTTAAAGGGCTCTACTAAGGACCCAGCAAGTGGTAGTGAAGGTCTGGATGCCACTGTGCCTTCAAGTCCAGGACCGGAACATACTCTGGGCACCTCACATGCCCATTACGATTTCTAACCCCCCCATCCTGAACCTCCACAACATTCTTGGCTACCTAGCCTGTCACACATGACAAAAGTAGGAGAAAAGTTAACTGCGTCTTTGTTAAGGACAGGAAAGACAAGGACCCACCTTTTTCACTTAAGCGAAAGGGGGTTCTGCTCCGAGACCTCGTCCTGGATCTCTCTCTCCGCCTGCTCGACTCCTCTGGGTACACCGTGCGACCAAAGCCATAGTAGCGCCGGCCCCGGGTAAGCGCGGACGCTCTCCGGTAATAGGACCTCCCCCGAGAGCGCGACCTGCTGCGGGAGCGGTAAGGAGAAGGGGACCGATAATAACGCCTGGACCGCTCGTAGCGCCTCTCCCGGTACCGGCGGGCGCGGGATCGCGACCGGCTCTGCGAGTAAGACCGCGAATAACGCCTGTATTTCCGCTGGTGGCGCCTCCTGGAACGAGATCTTGACCTACTCCTTCTATGGAGCCGGCTCCGGCTCCTGGACGAAGACCGACTGGAGACGTGGGAGTCAGACCTAGAGCTCCTGGAAAAGGAGCGGCTCCTGGATCGGGAGGACAGCCGGCTGGACTGGCTCGACCGGGACGTCGAGGGGGAATCCTTCTGCGGCGAGCCAGGCCACATGTCGTTCACGTACTTCGACATCTTCGACCACGCGGTTAAGCTTTTCTTTAAAAGGATCCCTTCCGGAACACTAGACAGGATCTGAAATAAATCAGGGGGGAGGGGAGTCAAATCCCGGAAGTAGGTTCCCGCGCCGCGCCTTCCGGAAGTTGCGGTCGGGCGCCCTCTAGGAGGCGGAGCGACGCGCAGGCGACGGAGGAACTCGGGCCTCAAGACTCCAGCTAACGCCAAGAGGCCACGGCCCCGGCCGGAACGCGGCCTTTCCTCCTCTAAAGGGAACCATTAGTCTCCGAAAAGCGGCCTCCACACCCCGCTGGGCCCCTCACACCGAACTGCGGGGCCATCTCCGTCAACAAAATACTTACCGCACGCCGCCGGCGCCTCCCTCTAGACGGAAAGGAAGGGCCACTGCGCGCCTTCCTGCGAAGCTGAGGAGGAAGGTGGGCCTGCACAGCGCGCACACCGAGCTAACGACCTTCACCTCCGCCGACCGGATGCGAACTGAGCTGGGCGTCAGTGGAAGCGTCGAAAGTACCAGAAGGTGACGCACAGGGCATGCGCAGAAGCATTGGCGCGGTGGGCGTGGCTCCCCTCGTCCAACCATCGCCTTGCCTCCCCTCCCCCTGCGCCCCACCCACCGCCGTGGGCGCCCGCCTACAGCATGCGCATGCGCGGCCGGGCCCAAATGGGGGGGCGGTGCTGCTACATCCGGGTATCGAACGGACCCTACCTTCGTTACTATTTTTTTTATTATGAGAGCATTGGAGGACTGACTTCGCCGCTCGAAAGCTCAGAGATGAGACCAGGCGTGAGTGCCAGTCGGGAGGAGGGGGCGGGCCGGATCGGCTGACCCGGATTGTGACG